TTTAGATCGATAATAAATGGTTACATCAGGTCCCGAAATCGGGAGAGAAGGGTTCAAATGAGTACCAGGTTCTCGAAAACCACGTCGTAGGTTAGTTTGCAACATGAATCACATATTAACATATTTCACGATAGTTGCAAATCATTGTACACGAGTGTCTTTACTTCCTTTTTCTGTGTAATGGTTATAGAAAGGTACCATAAACTTTCCGGAAGTCCGTGATAATAAAAGGCTGTCTAGAGAAAAACAGAAATTGAGAAGATGAGCTGCGGTAGGGGGTCCGACCTTAGAACTACCAGGCGGCTGATTTGACCACTTTACCACTCGACCACCATTGCTATTGAGTTAGATTGATGTTGACCTGAGAAAGGACCAAAACCGCAATCAGGACGGAAGGAAAACCTCCTCTCCTCACCCCCGCACACCAGTTTAACAGTGAACCGAGTCAAACACGGTGAGAACAGGGGACAAAATTAGTCAGTGGAGTAGAGCACATATATAAACAAACGGGTAAAAGCAGAACACTGCCACTTCACAAGTATTGATAATGTCACCTCGGCTGGCGATGAAACGTTTGCAAACAAATTGCCAAGCTCGGCGAACAGGCAAAATGGAATTCAGTTCACCAGAGCTACGAGAACCGATTTTTAAAATTTTGTCAACAGATTGATGTTTATTAGAAATAGTTAATGTGGCCTAGTTCGTTTCAAATGTCATTCGCCCAGACTCTCAAGCATCAGTTTCACTGGGCCCTGACGGATTAGAGCGGGAGACAAAACAAGTGGATTACAGCGGCGAGAGGTGCAACAGTTTGAGCTTGTAGGTCCAACAAGTAGTACTGATCCTAACCGATCACGGACCACGCACGCTATGTCACTGTTTTGGTGATTGATTTGTCAGGTATCGGCGTGTTTGGTGATCTGCGCAGTCGTTCGATCCAAACATGCATATAAATGTATTTAAGGAGATATAGTTCTTCTGACTGCTGAAAATGGGTACTGATAAAAAGGATCATGCGTCACCAATCTGCTATTAACTGGATATGGGCATGCCAAAAAGTTTGATCGACGAAAGACAAAAATAGCGTTTGTGGACAGTTCCGTGATTGATCTGAGGAATTTCTTCGACAATGCAGCATGCTGGCTCGATTGACTAATGGATCATAATGATATGTGGAATTTCACGGGCGATGTCACCTTGCCCCACTGCTTTCGTTTACATTTTTAAATGATGTCCCACTGATTACCGTTTCACAAATTTTACTGTTTGTCGAAGACTCCAGAATCTGATGAACAGTACAAACTCCTCACAACTCTTTAGTACTGCACCGTTGGTCTATCGGCAACAACATCAAATCCAACCGTGCAAAAATTAGGATTATATCGGTGCGTCACAGGGGCGATTTTCAATTTGTCGTTATACGAATATTGTGATATACTGCTGATATCTGTGAGTAGTATGTTTGTATTGTTGTTTCTTATAACGGTAAAAAAGGAACAGGAACTCTTAGAGCGAATTAGTGTGTTCAAATCTGTAACTGCAGCAAATGTGCATCTGCCATCGGACTGTTCCTTCAAACATGGTGCCTGCTTTTCGAATGTATGTAATCCCATTTATCGATTCTCTTATCGTTGTTCCTAACAAACAACTCTCCTCGACCGGCACTACCTTTTAGAATTATAACACTAATACCTACTAGAAACGAGGCAGTGCAACCGAATTAGAGAACATGTGATCGTCCCATATCAAATACTACATCGACGATGTTGTAGGTCACTGATATTGCCTATTTGTGATCATCTTAGAGGACACCTATTGCGAATGGCGCCAACGAAGAGTTCCGGCGTTGCTGCTTCCTTGTTTCAGTTTGCAATGTCTGGAACTCTCTTATAGCCGGAGTCGTTTGCACTCCAACGACTGATTTATGTTTGAGTTACGGTTGAATTATACCGCACTCACGAGTGAACGCAGATATAATTTTTTATGATGTCTGTTACCACTAACCGATAACACACTGCAACGATCCTATGGGATTTACTGAGCTCAAGATTCGTAATTTTTTCCGTAATAAACACTTATTTTGAGAAAATTTTGTTGAATCATTGCAGAATTTTGGTCGACTGAAATAGCTAGAGATAAATTGCACATACAGTCGGACATGCTATAGTGGCATGGTATTGAAGACACGTCGACTACGACCCGCCGTGACGCACTTGAGAACGGGAACCCGGGCTCGTAAAACGATCAAGTTACAGCTGGTTAAACCAGAAGACTTGTGGTTGTTGTAGACGTTTATTGAAGTACCGTGGCACAGAGAACGTACCGGTACCGGCTATCGACAGTTTGCGTAAAAGCACGAAAGAACGGGAACCAACGAGAGCGATAACGAGCAAAACGGAGCGAAAGTGAAAAGTGAAATTTATCTCTCGGAAGGATGCAGCAGTTTTCGATCGTATAAAACGAACGTCATATGGCGTTGGTACTGAAGTAAAAATGTGAACATAAATTTGGATTGTAGAGGAAAAATGGTGTCCAGCAAATGTCTGCTATTATCCGGCTTTCACCGTACAATCGGGCACACTACAGCGTAATGGCCAAAGAGAGAGGGAGTCCGTATGTTTGTTTTATCGCTTATTTTACTGGTAGTATTGGTGGTTTCATTGAACTGTTCACCATTAGGTGAACGTGAGGATCAAAACAAACCAGAATTGCACCTTTTTACCGAAAATTTGCTCTCAGTAATAGGAAAATCAGTTTTACTTAAACAAGCTTATTTGTCGTAACTTGAAGTTGATACTACTCAATCCAACATATTTCCAATTCGTCGATCAGCCGTTTTATCAAAATATTCTGTAGGTAAACTTACATTTTACTTCAATTTCCTGAAGGTAAGATTGCTAACTCAAACCTGCTCGCATAACTATTGGTTTTCCATTTATTAGTCACTTTTTGATGGGACAGAATTCGATAAACACATTACTGGTTGTCTATTGACAAAAGAAGCCACATTGAACATTTTATTATCTATCGCTACTGTGCATCCCTTGTGTCACGTGTAGCAAGCTTTTCGTTCGTCTTGGCGGCTGGTCATTCAAGGACGTTTGACTGATCGATGATTGAAATCGATCTTCTCGTTCTTTGAACGTGACATCGAGGAATTTCATGGGCT